GTTGAGAATTCTGAAAAGCCAAGAGGGTCCATATATACTACTATTATGAATTATGGAACTAGTCCCCAAATCAATAATAAGGATGGTCTTTTGGGACCTAATTCCATAATGGTAGTGTATATGGACCCTCTGGCAAATTTTATGATTCCAAAGTTTAGGGTTCCGAGTTTAGGTGAGACCGCAGGTGCAACAAATCTGTTATCACATTCAAAGCCGACAAACCTGCAAGCGGGTCCGAGGTGTTTGAACAACCTTGTCGGCTTGGGGTGTCGGCTCATCATGGAAAGCAAACGAAGGGATAGTAGCAAGTTGTTTCTGTCATGGGATGTATGGGCTCACAGCGCAGCTTCGAACAACAAGTTCCCAAACTCCGTCATGAGGCGTTTGGTGCCCACTTTAATGAAAGGCAAACCTTTGGCCATCGGTTCTGGGTTCAAGGTTCAGGGTGGGCTGGGTAACCTAAACCCTAAACCCGAACCAACTGCCCATCTGCAGTTCTGTCCTCAAAAATCCCGCGGTAACGCACAGAGGACGTGGACGGGGCATCTTTGTGAAGCTTGTGCACGTTTAGGGTTTGTGAAATATAGGGGCCTTAATAGTTAGAATAGGGTTTTTAGGGTTTAATATAGGGGCCATTAGAAGAGGGTTTAAAGGGCCTTGTATACTATGATTTTAATAAGGACCCCCCCCATAAAATAGTCTTGGTAATCATTGAGGCCCCTGCATTAGGGTCTATAGGGCCCTACAAACCCGAAAGCTCCGCAGCTTTCAGCCACGAATCCTAACCCGGATCCCCTGCCTCAAGCTGCCGGATCCTTAAATCCTTAAGTCGATACCATGACATCGCAGATGTATGTCTGAAGTATATGCTGGACCCTAAACCCTAAACCCGTAGATCCTCAGAAGCCGTGCCGGGCGACAAAGCCTTCCGATACAGTAGCATTGCGCTGGTCGAGCTTAAATGGACTACGGTCCAAGTATGTGCAAGTCACCGTCGAGAGAGTTTCCGGCAGTCGCAGCAAAGATTCGCCCTAAACCCTAAACCCGCAGTCCAACCCCAACTTATCAGGCCTACCGAGCCTCAAGCCCCAAAAGCCATCAGCTCCCGTGCAAGTCAAGGCAAGAGAGTTCGATGCCGAGCTCAAGGCTTGTTCTGACGGTAACGTCTAAAGTTTCAGGTAAAGGGTTTAGGGTTTTAGAAAGGATTGGGGCTCCGAGCATAGGGCGTGTTGCGGGGGCCTGGTGCTCATGGAGCGCAGGGGTTCATGGTTTTCGGGGGCTTTCAAGCCCTGATGGCATAGAGAGAGGCGCTGTGGATGGAGTAGTAATAGTCGTCGTCGTCGTCGTAGTAGTAGTAGTAGTAGTAGTAGTAAAGCGCCACGAGCGGTTCAAACATGTGGGGGCATTCCAAAATGCCATGGCATTAAGCTGCGAAGGCCACCTCCGA